TTACTTCCTTTTGGTTGATATGGAGCATGAATGCATTTTCTCTCCTTTCTGTTTTTTACTCTCAAAAGAGCAAAATTTCACACGCATGCAAGCGCACGACTCCCTAAATTGTCCTAGTTAAGCACATCTTTTAGCATTTTTCTGAAGCGTGGACCAAGGTTAAAATGTCATACAAAAGAAGCAGAAGGGTTTCATTGTTATAAGATATAACATGCTCATATGTTAAGCATGCAACTTACTTGCAGCCAACAGAACATTGTTTTCATCATGGTCCGCTTCACTGGGGCCATCAAAGAGATCAACTCTTTTAGTGTCAAGACTACTGGCATACCTGCAATTGCATAAAACAGAATAACAATCAAATAAATCGGAAAAATCATCACAATAACCATTTGGGATAATAAAAGATAGCCTATAGCTGCACTAACTACTAAGTAACAAAAATGCATAACGGAAGGAAATATTGCTCAAAAGCTGAACTGCAGCTTTGGTTTAATTAACAGCCCATTAAAAATTGTGGACTAGTTTACTTTAGACAGAGAGCCGATTTGGTTAGCTGAAACATATTTCCTTATTTTGGTTGCATCATTAAAGAGATTATCAGTTCGAAATCCACTGGCTACTAACAAAATTCAAGATATGTGAAGAGCTTCCTCAACAAGATAATTTAGCCTTTAAAACTGACAACCACCAATACAAATCCTAAAGAGAGGTCAAGGATTGATCTGAGTTGAAAGAAAAATCATAAAACAAGAGAAATGAGTCATGCTCAAATTTTGATTGATTGTTAGATAATCGAGCTTTTTTTATGCTTTTGACTAAATCTTACAACAAAAAGGCTACCAGATTATAAATAAAACAGTTTTTCCTAGTGGATGACATATTAAGTTGGAAGGCATTTGTTTGGCTCTTTGACCATATTGTGTCCTAGAGATGAATACCAATCAATTAGCAAATTTGCTGTTTATAAACCAGAAGAATTTGGAGGGCTGATCATATGTTGCTTGAAGTTAAATTGACAATAAGTTACTGTCTCCTACAAATAAAGTTGTCTAATTATGTTTTGGACAAGCCCCTCCTCTTCTGCAGAGAATATTAACCATGAACGGGCACCAAATTAGAGGCTCGACATACAGCTGACAGCCTTCATAAAAGTTCATCCACTTTTTCTTATTCTTCTTAGCATGGAGTTGTACTCCAAGACAGCTCACTTCACGGGGAAAGATTTAAATGAAGAGGTAAAAATAGTGACACTGGATGTACATACCAAGTTCATCAGAATTTTTAAAATATTGAGTAAGCTCAATGGTGAAGTCGTTAATATCAGCATCCCTCATCCAAACTATTCTTTAGCTAACTAGCAGACCAGTGAAAAAGCTGAAAATATTTTCCCCCGACAACCACACCAGCAAAAAACTGAGCAGAAATCAGAGTTATCTACAAGTTCACCATAATTGAAGGGCAATCTACTAACAGAGTCTGGCATCCTATAGGATCTAAAAAATTCATCCCGCTTGTGTGAGCTCACTACTTGGTTATCTGGTTTTATGCAGTGCATTCACAAATACTACGAACTGTCTTTATAACAGTGAAAATATTGGTTTCTCTGATCATAGCATGTTCATGTCTCAAGAATTCTATAGATAAAGGTGTTTGCCTTACATCCAGTGAGAAACTGGCAAGAGAAAGAAATATCCACATTACTCGCCCTCTTTATCTTGATGCATGTAAGTCTCAGAAGGCACCCAATATGAAGCATAATCCTTTAAATCAATTTGAGACATCCTAGAGAACACCATAGTCCATACAAAGAAAACTAGCATGCAAAATGGTGAGACGACTTTTAAAATATGCATCTGACTTCAGTACCCCAATGGCAAGGTGGAGTTTATAGTTATAGCTCTAGGTCAAAGCTAAGAAAAAATTTTATCCTAATTATCTCATCTGAACAACCCAACAGAAAAACTTATGAAGATTTAGAACAATTCATGGGTGTTCATTGCCATACCTAACTTTGCAAAGTTGCTTTATATTGACATGTATGCCATACCTAACCTTGCAAAGCTGCTTTATATTGACATGTATGCACTAATTACTAGCCACAAGACTGATATTTGGGTAAAGGTTATTCAGAACTGAACTATAATTGGAATCAATGCCTCAGATGTTTGTCCCAAAGAATGAATTTTCTTTGAACAAAATCTTAATAAATATGACTCAATGCTTGTCTCCAAAAGCATAATTAGAATATTGAATCATGATCATAATGGCCTTCTTAAAACAATCAAAGAGCTTATTTAAACATTCTTTCCACATTGTCAGGTCTTATAGAAAAAACGGGTAATGAAAGGAAATCAAGCCCCAATATGGCTACATAGAAGAGATATTTTTCCTCATGGATGCCAATGATTTCCTAAATTGGTACACGAACTTCAGATTGAACTCCTACAATATCAAGCTATTTGGAGTGTAAACATGAGCTTCAGATTGAACTCCTACAATATTAAGCTATTTGGAAGTTGTCAATCCAATGCATTTGTGCAATACAAGTAGTTGAATGTAGAATTTGGATATTTTCTATTAGTGAACATTTATTTAATCCACATGAAGGTCTGTTCATCAGCTGGGAAAATATTGATTTGCAGAATCAGCCAAGCGAATCAAGAAATCTAAATAAACACAGGCATTCACAGAATCACATGAAAAAAAAAAGCAATCAAATGCGTGTTTACAAGAAAATATATCTAATCCATAAAGATACGACTTACTGCTTCTTTAGAGCAACATATGAGTTCAACTCTTTAATCTGCGCAAAAAAAAATGCTCCAGTTAAATTAATGTTACATGGACGATGATGCGAATATGATACTTATATATCTGTTTATATAGAGACTAAAGAGATCAAAATGCGAAACAGAACCATTGACTGCTTTTTGTCACTCAGCATTTTGTTGGTGTCAGCAGTAGTTCTGCCCTCCTCTTCCTTCACTGCTCTATCAAAATTTTTGATAAGCCTTCAAATAGATAAAATATACACATATTGATCAGCCACGCCTAGTTAGAAAGTGAAATCAAAGTTTAAGTAAAAGTATATTTATTTGATAGAATTTACATAAGATAATGTCTAAAAAAAGGCAAAATGTTACTAATATTTTTCTAAAAAAACAAGAGTACGTACCTCTTGCATTCTCGCATTTTATCCGTCAGTTCCTCCAGCTGCCTACTTCTGCGATTAGGGTCTTTGACCTTTTCCAATTTCTGAAACCCATTCCTGTCATCAAATGACACAGGAGTTAAGGTAGGTTGTGACAAAGCATGATTTAACATCTGACATGGTTAATAACATAGTGGGGTCATAGATAATGCCTTCCATTATAGCAAATGTTCAAACTGAACAATCATTTCCTTATAAAGGAAAAAACTAACTCTAATTATATTAGAAACTTAACGTCTTTCTGGTTCTAAGACATAGCAATCACAGAGTATAACATAACCATTTTGTATAACAGCAAAAGCAAAAGTAAAACCTTTGTCATAGTTCTTAGGGGCCATCTACATGAATCTCTTTTCTCTATTCAGCTCAGTTAAGGACCACCCTCTTTATTCAATTAGCAATTATCATACCTATTCTAATCGTCTTTACATGTGTTTGAACAAATCTACCTATCCTTATTCCTCACTACGGAAAACATATTGTAATATGTAGGAGTGTTTAAAAAACTGGACTTTTCTAATGCAGTACTTTAAATATTTTTGGGCTAAAGGATATTGACAACCCCTGCCTATCATTATGATTCCTGACCACATTGTTACACAAAGAAATTCATAATTAATTCATATCACACTTTTTTAACCTCAAAATAACAATTCCTCCCAGAATTTAACAGAAATTATAAAGAAACCTAGACTTAATTATGGAAATATACAGAAACTTAATTACACTAGAATAATCAATGATCACACCTATCACTATTAATACTCAAACTTTTATCAACATATTTATATTGAATTTGATGTTTTTTATACGGAATAGAGTTGAGAAGGAATTACTAATAGTCATTTCTGAATTCCCGACAGTCAATAAGATACAGTATGCCAGTAACCATAATATTTTCTCTCAAAATAAAATGCTACATACCAATTTCTGGTGGTAGTATGTAAATAATTTAACAAATGTAGAATTTTTTGTCGCAAAAAAGTTCAGATAACTCATTTCAGATGAATAATTGGATGTTCTCAAAAGTATAGTACACTTCTCACAAGAAAATTGCAATATTTCTGAAATAAAGATGTACCAATTAAAACTTCAGCCCCACAGAAATGCTTCACCCTAAAAAAGGAGGGATCCCTGCCTCTTTCAAATTGTTCACAGAATTAAAAACTAACAAAAATTTCACTCTATACATTTAAATTCTAACAATTAATTTACAGCTTTCTCATAATGAAAGGCCTAAACAGTCAATTCCTATGATAAAGAAATGATGTTTTTTTCTCTTCTAATTTTAACTATTCACGGCAAATTCTACAAATTAAAGTGCATTAAAATCCAACCTTAGTCATTTGTAACACAGCAATAATTAAACAAAAATACAAAAATTAAAATTCTAGCCCTAAATTAAACACATTTCCGAATTTCAAAGAAACGAAAATCTTACGACAAAGCCCGAAAGAGATCGCTGATCTGCCCTTCGATCTCCGCCAGATCCTCACTTATAACAGACAAATCCATCTTCGCTAATCAAACCCCAAAGCCGCAATGCCGCTCTCAGATCAAATCGAATCCAACTCCACGTGACCAGATTTCAAATCGAAGGATTATCCAAATGCAACCGGAGCTTCGACAGCTGAAACAGATTGGATCCGAACCAAAGTTCAGCCGTTAAAAGCTTCACATTATCAGAAAACCCAAACCCGTTAAGATCCGAATCGCGATGGAAAAAGAGAGGGCTTTTTGTTTGGAGTTTTCTTCGCTCGATGACCGATTGCTTTCAGGGTTTCGCAGATCTCGTTGGGGAAGACGCCGGGGGCGTTTTTGGGTAAAAGAGCAGTGGATTTATTTGTTGTTACAGGTTATTTTGTATTACCCCTCCACATCTTCAATGTTTGGATATCAACCCCCAAATTTTAAAAATTGCTCTAAGGCCCCCAAATCTTCAATATTTCAATATTAGCCCTTCAAATCTTTAAAATTGATCTCAGGCCCCCTAAATCCTATTAGTATATTGAAATAAGGTCCTCTGGTTAAAATCTGGTTGATATGGGGGGATATTTTGTTTGCTTTATTTTATTTTTTTAGTAATTTACTAGGCATACATGAACCTCTCACATAAACACAAACTCATTAACAACTTTAACTTATACTCATTAAGCTCCCCAAATTTATTTAATAAGACCACAACACAAACTTAATAAGACCGCAACACAAACTTAATTTTTAATTCTTCTTCTCCAATGTCTTCCCAAACAGCTCTTTGCAGCTCTAATCCTAAAATTACATCGGGTATATCTCCATTGAGGAAGATGTTGAAGAAGAGTCTAGAGAAGATGAAGTGGAAAGTGAGTTTGCGTTAGAGTTTTATTAAACAGATTTTAAGAGCTTAATGGGTATAAATTAAAGTGGTTAATGAATTTAGTTTGTGCAAGAGGGGTATAATTGGTAAATCACTGAAAAAGTTAAATTAAACCGAATCAATTTTAACTAGATTTTAACTAAGGGGCTATTTCAACATATTAATAGGATTTTAGGAGTTAATATCAAAGTATTGAAGAGTTTTTTTTTTTTGGGGGGGGGGGGGGGGGGGGCGGGCTAGTATCAATTTCAAAATAGAGGGGTTCTAATATCAAAATTATGAAGATTTGAGGGTCTAATATTGAAATAACCCTATATTTATAGGGTTTTTGAATATATACCACTCATATCTTTCATATTTGAAAATTAATCCTTAATTATTATTTGTGAAATTTTATCCCCTAATATCTCATATTTGGGGTTTTCTACGCTTCCCATCTAACAATGTTAGTTTTAAAACTGTACAACGTTAAAAAATTCAATAACTTCCAATAATATTGCAACATTTTCCTATTTAAAACTAAAATTGTTAGGGGCAGAAAAGTTCAATGTGAGAGGACTATGGGGTAATTTTGCAAATATCAAGATTTAGGTCTACTTTAGTACATATGGAAGATTTAAGATGTGTATATATGCAAAAACTCCTTTTCTATATTAGTCTCTTAATCTTTAATATTATAAATTAGTCCCCTCAAATCTGCTATTGGGTCCTCCAGCTCTTACAAGTTGTGAAATTGCTATTGGATCCTCTAGTTCTTACAAGTGTTTAAAAGTAGCCTTCTCAATAGAAAAAAGATAGTCTAAAGAACTCCTAAGTTTTACATCTGTCTTCAAATCAAAGAACTTGTTATTGGGTCCTCTAGTTCTTACAAGATTAGGGTTTACCAAACGGATCATTTCCGAAAGGATCATCACCTCTATTTTGATCAATGGTCGGACGTGCATGGTGAGAAACCCTCGCATTTCACCCCGCAACTATCGTATAAACCACGAACTTGTATAGAGAAGATGACAGTGTAGGTTGTCTAAAAACTACTACAGATAGATAGCTGGTCTCCACAAAACGCTGACGATGAAAGTTACAATCTGACGACTTTCATGACAACAGACGAGAGTTACAAATTGACGACTCTCACATTTTCAAGAATCAAATATAAGGATTACAAGCTAACGATCTTTGCAAAATTCGAAAAAAAGAGATTACAACTAACGATCTCTTCAAGGCTAAACGTGAAGGTCCACCTTTGTGTTCCCAACTTCAAACGCGGGGCTCACCTCCACGTTTCAAAAGCCAAACGTAGGGCTCACCTCTGCATTTTCACAGAGTTGAACGCGGGGCTCACACCCAAACGTGAACCTCACATTTGACTATTTCAAACATGATTTGAATGGTTTCAAAACCGTTTTCCACATATTAGGGCCATTAAGCCCCCATTATGGAGCGAATGAAGGGGTCAGTTACACCCCTTAAACCCTATAAATAGCTGGGTTTACAACTGAAACATGGTTAGCTTGGTTAAGGCTTTTGTTGGAGCTTTGGAGATCATTTGCCTTGCCTTTTTGAACCATTTTCGGTTGAAGAACTTTAAGATTGGTTATGTAGCTTATTTCAGTTAAAAAGGAATAAATTTCCTTTCTGAAATTAACTCTTTCGCAGAGTTTTAAAACTCGTTTAGGGTTCTAAACTTACCTTGCAAGTTCTTCCCGACGTAAAAGACAAGAGGAAAACACAATGTTCCACAAAGCGAAGTACTCGGATTGTTAATGAGATACAAGATTCAAGCTCTCATCCCACCAAGAAGAACCCAGTTTTAAACAAATAGAAGGATCCTCGTTGTTTCTTCTCTCTTTTATAAATCGGGAAACCGATCAAGAAAATTGTAATTTCTTTTTCTAAGCCAGTTAGAGAGATTATTTTAAAAGATTGTATTCATTCTTTTCCTAAGTCAGTTAGCGAGATTAATACAAATTTATATCTTAATTTTCTTCTAATTTTTCCCACAAACAAAAGATAGCGATTCCGCTGGGGGCTAGCTTTTTCATCGATGAAAAGGTAGTGGCGCAATCCGACATTAAACTCGTAGGAACTACTATCGTAACTCTGACCATGGAGTTCACCAGACCAAGTATGAGGAGTTTCTCTTCCCCGGATCCCTTAGCCCCAAGGTTATGCTCAAGATCCGCAAAGTCTCTAAGGAGACTAAGTTTCCTCCTACCATCAACCTGTTAGACCCTAGAGAGAGGGTGATTAGGGTCTTATGCTAATCTAATCCGATTATATGCCAATAAAAACTAATTAACAAGTTATCCTAGCAAGTATGAAATACCACAAGATATATAAGCTAGGATAAGCAATATGAACAACAAAGAGATATATCCTATATGATAAAAATATATATGCAAGGATATATACACTAACACAAGATAATATATCCTACCAAAGAGATATACAATATGATATATGCAAGGATATGTAAACTAACACAATGGGTAAACAATATGAACTAAATAGTGGATCATATAAATAATGAGCTATGGACAATGGCGATATAAGATATGAACATAAATATAAATGAACGCCAAAGCACACTCAAACACACTATATGATCACGGAGTTCGGACCTTCCGTCCTACGTCTCCGCTCCCCACTCCCGGGGAGAAATCCACTATCACAACCGGGTTTTTTACGTTCACCCGAATAACGTTTACACCTCACAATCGGTTTTCTAGCTAACCGAAAACTTTACAATCAACACTCTTGTAATCCCACTCTACACCCACTAAGTGTTGAACTAGACGTGTCTCCCTCAAGTGCTCGGATACAACCTCTCCCTAGGTTCGTCAAACGACGCCACTCCTCTTGGAACGATCCCTGACTCTCACCACACACTCCTCTCGGTGTACAAGTGTATTACAAAGTTAATCTCACAATAAGGCTCAATACAAGAAATGTTTGTTCTCTACTATGGATGAGAACACAATGAAAGCTCACACTCAATTGTTACAACTCTCACCAACCCAAAATATATTATGAATGTAAATACAATAAGCTCAAGTGAGTGTGTGTAACAATGAGATAAAATCAAATCTAACTCAAATAGCAAACTAGCAATAATAAGAATATGAAAAACAATAATAAAATTGCTAGAGAAAAGAGTTAGAAAACTTCTCAATAGATCAAGAGGTAGAAGGAGAATAGTTGGATGCCCAAACACCAATAGATGATCTCCTCAAGCTCTTGTGAAATTGAATTCTCAAACTCAAACTTCCAAATGCTTAAAAGCTTCTTAAACACACTTAAACCAAACTCCCCAAAATCCAGCATTACTGTAGCACTGTGTATCAACTTTGTAAAATCAATTAAAAATAGTAAAACAGCTCCAAAAAATATGAAATTTTGTGGGAAGGTTATAGACATGTAGAATAACATGTTAAAGAAAGAATTTCTGAAAAATCGTTTCCCAGTTGAGAGAAATAAATGTTTGAACACAGATTTATAGTTTCTGAAAAACTGCTGACATACACGCTCCAAAAATAGTAAAATTTTGAGAAAAGTTTCTAAACATGTAGATAAACATGTCAAAGAAATAATTTCTTGAATATCATTTTCCATTTATGAAAACTCATCTATTTTGTAAAACATGCACGAACATGTGCACGAACGAAAACGTGAATTTGTAAATTCCTTTAAACATAACAAATCAATTCCAAACTTGATGAAACTTTGCGAAATGTTTATAAACATAAAAACAAACATGTTAGAAAAATAATTTCTCAAATTGAATTTCTATTTGTGAAAACGCATGTATTTTGCAAGTGTGTCCAAAGCATAGATACTCAAAACCATGCATGTATATATATAACTATATATATACATAGAAACCAAATACGTGTGTGTATATTATGTTGATCTTAAGGTACTTAACACACATAATATAAAATCTAAACTAGATTACCCAAGCTTGATCTTAATCTTCATTGTAGCTCAACTTGGTATACATGCGGATGAAGCTTGAACTTGATCTTTAACTTTGAATTGCAAGGCTTCACTGACATTCCGCCAACCTCCTTTGGATATGAGATCGTTATGGCGCAATCCATCCATCCTCCAACATCGTTGTTTGTCTACAAAACATAGGAATGCACAAACACTAGACAAACAACATTAGTAATAAATTGTTTGTTAAACATCATCAAAACAAGAAGGCCAACAATCTCCCCCTTTTTGATGATGACAAACAATTTACAAAAAGAAGTATATGCATGAAGTAAATGAACATTCACATGCATATAAACAAGAAAGAATATACTCACAATATTTCTCTCCCTTTGACAACATCGAAAAGGGGACAAAAGAATTAAGAGAGCGAAAGCTCCCCCTACAAATAAGCATGGGTGAGTATGAAGCAAGTATAGGGATTGCTCCCCCTATCAAAATGCCATATAAAATATATGCAATGAAGACTAAGGCAAAAACATGTGAGCAAGCATAGATAGAAAAAAATGCTAAAACACAACTCACATACATAAGGACAATGAGAACATATATAAATATATCAAGGTAAAAAATAGTGTCTCATATCAAAGAACATAAAAACCATTTGTATAGGTAGATTTATGAAATCAAAAGAAGAGAAACAACAATAGTGGTAAATTGTTTGTTAAACATCATCAAAACAAGAAGGCCAACAATCTCCCCCTTTTTTATGATGACAAACAATTTACAAAAAGTTCTAAAGGAGCTTCATGCTGAGAATCATACAAAAAGTTTTCAAATGAAAACAAATCAACCAAAAGAAATCATAAATCAAAGTTTAAATCCAAAAACGATGTTTGATCAATCAAGAAAATTCTCTTTGTGGGATTTGATCAAACCACATATGGAATACATTATAAGGCACGAATAGATGATCCATAAGCACAAACACATAAATATCATCATATAAGTGAAATATAATGAATTCAAAGTAATAATTCAAAACAAAATCTTTGATAAAAGAATTTCAAGAGAGGCAACAATATATCAAGCTCTTAAGCAAAACAAAATCTTTGATAAAAGAATTTCAAGAGAGGCAACAATATATCAAGCTCTCCCAATAAACCCGGAGGGTTATATAAATGCAAACCTCTCATTAAAGCAAAACCAATGATCATGAAAACAAAAGAATTTAGCCAATAAAAGGAATTGTTTTCATAAAAGTTTAAAATGCATTTTTCAAAACCAAGAAAAAGGAAAATAAAAACTCTAAAATTCTTGGTTTAAAAATTAAATTTGTTTTGGTACCCAAGAACTCTTGGTACCAAAAGATTTAGGGACATGACCCCTATCATTCAAGCTCAAAGCCCTAGGGTTATGAACCTATTTGGGCGCATTTAGTGCACGGGTCCGGTCATAGCAATAATTATGTAAATGACTCATTCGATTGTAATAAGTGCAATGAAGAGGATGCATTTGGTTATGTTGACCATGTGGATGTGCACGAGGAACATTTGCAAGTAAAGATGGTCTTTTACGATTATTTTGCAAATGAGAAACATTTTGAAATAATGTTGGTCTACTTGAAATATTTTGCAATTTAGAAACTTTTCGCAAATCAAAACAAAACTTGGCTAAGTGACCAACTCTACCACAAAAATCACAATGATACACATTAGCATGCTTATGATGAACAATGGGTGCATGTGTGTGTACATGTGATGAAGAAGAAGCCTTATGAGATGCACAAGAAGGATTAATATTCTTATGTTTTTGTGCATCATAGCAAAACTTAGCTAAATGGCCTTTAAGACCACAAATGGAGCACTTATAAGTTTTACTATACAAGTGTGCAAAGTATACGGGTTTAGAAGTTGTAGTACTAGACTTTGCACCCAAGTCCATAAGTTTCTTATTATCTATAATGCATGTTTTAAGGGTTGAATCTAAAGATGATATGCGTTCTTTAACATGATCCAACTCATTTTTAGGCATACAAGCATTGGAAATAGAAGTAGATGAAACATGATCATTTTTAAAAGAACTAAACTCATTTCTAATAGTTTCTACTTCTATCATGACATCATTATTAGCATGAGTTAAGCTAGCAATAGATGAAGACATGTTATTATTTTCCAAACTTAATAACTCATTGTTTTCTTTCAAAATAGCATTCTCTTTAACAACAATATCAAGTTTAGAAGCTAGCGACTCATGATCGGATTTCAAATCTACATGCTTGCTTTTAAGATCAATAAAATTATTTTGCAATTTAGTATAGGCATGAGATAATCTTTCATATGCACAAGCGAGTTCATCAATAGATAAATCATTATCTAAATCGCACTACAAGAAATTACATCTTTAACGAAGGGATTTCCCTTCGTTAAAGAGCTAAAAACCTTTGTTATTGTATGATAACGACGGAGAAAAATCCCTTCGTCACCCGTCGTTGAAGCCCTCTTCGCTAAAGGGTCACGAAGGGATATACTACCCGTCGTTATAGAGTCTATAACGACGGAACATATTACCGTCATTAATATTTACGATGGTAATTATCACCGTCGTTACCATCAGTAACGGGGATATTTTCCCGTCGTTACCATCAGTGACGGAATAGTTTCCCATCGTTACCATCAGTGACGGGATATTTTTCCGTCGTTACCATTAGTTACGGGGATATTTTCCCGTTGTTGAAGACTAATTAATGACGGTTGGATACCGTCGTAAAAGTCCACATAATGGGTAATTAGTAACCCATCAATGACGGTGCTTTCTCTTCGTTGATGAACAAAATACGGTTTATAAAACCGTCATTGTAGACTATAAATTTCTAATATACATTAATAATAAATTTTCCATTCATAGACAACTATCATAATATTCTCAACCAGACACTAAGATTCACAACAAAAACATATTAAAATACCCAATAATGAATAAGAGGTAAAATAAAAATTCCATTCATTAATAACATCAATAAATAAAATTCCATCGTCCTCAAATATTCAATACTAATAATAAGAGTTAATATCCTAATTGTTCCAAAGAAAAATACATGAAACTATCTAAAACAAATTAAAATAAAAGTTTGGGGAAGACACATCTCTGACACCTCTAATCATCGTCAAAAGAAGACTCGAGCTACCCCCTCCTAATCTTGCATGGATAGCCTAAAAAATTTAAAAAAAAAAATCACATAATTAAGAAATATCAATTAAGCATATATTATCTTATTAAGTAAAAAAATATATTTTTTAGTGCAAGTAGTCAATCATAAAAGTATATAAGAGATTTTACAAAAAATAATTACCTAGTCCTGCACATGTTCTCGAGTTTGAGGAGTTAATGAAGGTGATTGCCTAAAAAAAAGTTCTTGCATAGCTTTCACTTGTGACTCCAACTCAGACATCCTTTGTTGTTGTTGCTCCTGCTCATCTAAGCGTTGTTGAAGCATCTGGTTCTTTCTCTTTTCTTCTATAAACCGTGCTTCCAGATCAGATCGACTAGGGAGCGGTCCTCTCAAATCTTTCAAAGTAGTCTCGCCACCAAATACAGTAATGTGACCATGAGATTGCTTCCCCCAGATTTTCTCAACTATCTCAATGTCAGAAAGTGAAGGGTTTGCTTGTTTGACTTGAACAATTTCATCCTATAAAAATTAAATTCATATGTTAGTACTATATAATGCATCATTATCAAACTTAAACACATATTCTACTTACATATTTATCTTGATCCCCATTTTCTAGTGTTTCATTAGCTTTCTTTCGAGTTTCATGAAACATTTTTGCCACATCAGGTGGATTTCCTGACTTGCCACCCTTATTCAAATATTAAATAAAAATGAGTACAACATCAAACTAAAAAACAAAGTAGTTATAAATAAATAAGAAATTAGTTTTGAATGTATACCAATTCCCACGCAATTTGTCTAAAGGATTTGCTGCCCGTGTGGTGGAGCATCTTTCTTTTGCCTCTATTAAGTGTATTTTGTTGGCTTGCTTTCTATACATCAAGATTAAAAGATAATTTTAACAATCCAACAATATACATGGAAAAAAATTAATAAAATTCGGAGATTAATACCTAAAATTTTGAAGAAAAATAATGTTCCTTAACTAGCCAATCCCAGTCATCAACACTCACTTCTGTAGGTTTATTTCTAAGTGCAACTTGTAATGAATTTTCTTTCACATATTTCATGTGCATGTCACCACGCCACTTATTCCACAAATCGCGCAAGTGTCTCATTACTAACTCTCTCTTTTGCTCCATGTCCTCAACATCAAATTTATCCTATATCAATTTTGAATCAAAATTTAATTTATAAGAATTAAAAACCAAATGCATTTAATTAATTTTCAATGTACCTTAATGGATGCCCACATATGATCTTTATTTTGTTGTGGTATTTTGGCCCAATTCTCAACAGCTACTGGGCAAATATTTCTATCACGAATAATAATTCCAAGATATCGTGAAAATTCTGGCTCAATAGCTCTATTCTGATAAAAAGTAATGATCTTTTTCTCCCCATGTGACAAATTATTCAACTTTAGACACTTATTATTACCACGAGGTGGATTTTTCTTCTTATGAGAATTATCAGTTGCATACATCATATCATATGTTAGAAACAAGATATAGGTAAAAAGAAATTGATAAAAATATTACTTCTTGTAATTAATAAAGAATATACCATCTTGTCAAGATTCATTTAGTATTACATCATCATTTTGCACTCGATGATTATTTGATTCTGCAAAAAATTGGGCAATTATTAATCTAATCATAAAAAATAAATTGAAAGATAAAAAAGAAATAACAATAAAATTTAAGTCTCATCAACCTGCAGAATCATCATTCTCTTCATTGTTAGTATTTGCACTTCTCCTGCGATTTTGTGCAAAATTCTCCTCTTCAAAGTTTTCTGAATCAGCACTAAAATTTGTACCCATATTTTGATCTTGTATTGGATTTTGAATATTCAAGTTCTTGTCATGACAAGTACGGAGTTGTTCCCTTCTTAATGAATTTTCTGCAAGTGCTTGAAGTCGCTTCCTAATTAATGACCTGGGTGCTAGAAATTGTGCCCTTTTGCTTTTGGAAGTGACTTCTTGAGTTTTCATTTTCCTGCTATGAAAAGGAATTTAAGTATTACACAAAGAAAAAGAAACCCCAAGAACAAGCATAATAATAAATACATAATACATGCTTTCACCTTGGACTACTTAATATGAAGAAAAAACATTAATTGGATACAACTTAAAATTTATCTTAATAACACAATATCATTTGTGTTCTATTCTTTAATTAAAGCGTTCTAATTCTCTGCTTGAGTCTTTTTCCTCTTTTTTGAAGTTGAGACCGAATTTACAATAATTGGATCAATGTCACTCCTTCTCAAATTGATATAATCATCTTCCATTAATGATGTTGATGCAATAGCCTGAGCATCAAATGATTCATCTTGCAAATAAGCTTTAACTCCATCGTCTGTTATCTCACAATCATCTGTATCTGGTGGCATATCATAGGAATCACGGGGTTGTGCTTTAAGAACTACATGCCAACCTTCATTGGCAATATCCTCAACATAAAAAACTTGTGATGCTTGGCCAGCAAGTATAAAGTGTTCATTCGTCTTTAGCAAATGTCGGCAGTTAATACTAACAAATCCATATTTATCTTCTTTCAAAACGGTCTCTTTTCCTTTGCCGTGCACATCCCACCACTTACAACGAAATAGAACAACCTTTCTTCCACCAAGATACTCTAATTCGACAACTTCAACCAAAGCACCATAATAATCTATATCTCCACCATCACCAGCATCACCAACAACTGCAACCCCACTATTTTGAGTTGACAAACAATTATCTCGACTTTCTGTATGAAATCGATGTCCATTTATGACAAATCCAGTAAAACATTTAACAATCTTACTTGGACCACGAGATAGTGAAAGTAAGTCATCATCTTCTCGATAACTCTGATAAACCTAAACAAAACCAAAATATGATCAAGTCATGGAACATGTAATAAAATGAACCAATCAAGATATTTAAAAAATAAGGCAAGATATATACGTACTAGAGCTTGGAACCACTCGATAAAGTTCTTATCCCAATCTTTATCATCATAGTGATTTGTGGGTTCTCTCACGAATTCATTGTAGTCCCTACATTAAAATATCATAAATATGATTAACGTTGACTAACTATAGTAAATTTATTAGTAGAATCTTAAACTTTAGTGACTTACTCAATGTGTGGTTGCACTTCATCACAGTTCTTTAGAACATAAATATGAGCTTGCAACCACTCACGTTCATCAAGGTAGCGGGTGGTGGCAGCACCCAATGCCCGCCCACTATGTCTGAAAATAGATAGTTGTGCTTCATTACATTCTCTATTGTCATCTTCATAATTTCTTTCAAGGCGATTAAACTTTGTCTCGAAGCCTTTTAGATACCTTGAGCAAAGTGTCATGCATTCATCTGCTATATATCCTTCAGCAATTGACCCTTCTAGACGTGCCCTATTTCTGATATATGACTTATAAGTATAAAGCTGACGCTCCACTGGGTACATCCATCGAAATCGAACAGGCCCTCCAAGTATGGCTTCAGATGCTAAATGAACTACTAAATGCAGCATGACATCAAAAATTGAAGGTGGAAAAATCTTCTCAAGCTTACATAACGTCAGTGGAATCTGCTCATCAATTTGCTTTAGTTCATCCACCCTTAATGTCTTGGAACATAATATAGTGAAGAATATGGAAAGTTCAATAATTGGTTCACACACTTTTGCAGGAAGAAGACCACGAATCGATACAGGAATCAAGCGCTACAAAAGAACATGACAGTCATGACTCTTTAACCCCAAAATTTTACACTCTTTAAGGTTTACACATTGAGAAATATTGGATGAAAATCCATCTGGAACTTTTAACTCCTTTAGAATTCGACAAAATTTGCTTTGCTCTTCTTGGGATAAAGTATAACAAGCTGCTGGCATCACAAGTTTATCTCCTCTCTGGATTGGATGTAACTCCGGTTTTAAACTCATTGCTTGTAAATCGAGACGGGCTTTGATATTATCCTTTGTCTTTCCTTTAATGTTCATGATTGTTCCCAGCAAACTATCACAAATATTCTTTTCAATATGCATGACATCTAAATTATGTCGCAATAAGAGAGTTCTCCAATATGGCAAATAAAAAAAATACTTTTTTTTATTCCAATTATCTCCCCGCCTTTCGTGTAATATTTTAATTTTCTTCTCTGGATGATTAGTCAAGGTGATCCCTATAAGATCTTCCACCTGCTTAAGGATTTTAATTTTCTTCTCTGGATGATTAGTCAAGGTGATCCCTATAAGATCTTCCACCTGCTTAAGGATGTCATCTCCGGTCAGCTTCGGCGCTGCATACCCTCTCTCCCTAGTGCCATCAAATGATTTCTTATCCTTTCTCCAAATGTGATTTTCATCAAGATAGCGATGATGCCCCATATAGCTCTGCTTGCCTCCATATTTTAACCTGATAGAGTGCGTGTGCTTATTACAACAAGGACATGTTAATTTCCCCTTAGTGCTCCATCCAGATAAATTTGCATAAGCAGGAAAATCATTGATAGTCCAAATTAGTGCTGCACGTAAAATGAAATTCTGTCTCAGAGATACATCATATGTTTGAACGCCTGAGGCCCACAACTCCTTTAGTTCTTCTATCAATGGTTGTAAGTAGGTGTCAATAGCATCTCCAGGACCAGTTAGACCAGGAATGAGCATAGATAAAATAAAATTAGATTGCTTCATGCACATCCATGGTGGTAAGTTATATGGTACAAGTAAAACAGGCCATATGCTATAAGAAACTTTTGAATTTGTGAAAGGCTGGAAACCATCACTTGCAAGACCAAGTCTAACATTTCGGGGCTCTTCGGCAAAGCTTTCATGTAGCTCATTAAAGTTTTTCCAAGCCTTAGAGTCAGCTGGATGCCTCATCACTCCGTCCTCATCTTGTCTTTCATGGTGCCATCTCATATCAGAAGCTGTCTTCGAAGACATGTAAAGCCTTAGCAATCGTGGCTTAAGAGGAAAATATCACAATGTCTTTTGTGGTATTTTTTTACCATTTGCCTTTCGCTTGCAATCGTGGCTTAAGAGGAAAATATCACAATGTCTTTTGTGGTATTTTTTTACCATTTGCCTTTCGCTTGATCTCTTTTCCATGTTTATCAAGTTTCCAATGTCTTTTGTGGTATTTTTTTACCATTTGCCTTTCGCTTGATCTCTTTTCCATGTTTATCAAGTTTTCATCTAGAAGCACCACATCTCTAACACGTATCAAGACCTTCTTCGCTTTTCCAAAACAGCATGCAAGAGAATGGACACGGATCAATTTTTTCATATGATAGGCCAAGGTCTCGGATTAATTTTTTGGCCTCGTCATACGAATTAGGCAGTGTTGATTCCCCTGGCAATAGCTCATCATTCAAAAACTGGAGCAACATTGAGAATGATTTATTACTCTACCTATTTAGGCTCTTTATGTGAAGAAATTTCACTAAAGCAGATAACTTTGAACATTTAGAGCCTTCATACAAAGGTTTCTCGGAGTCGCCTAAAAGACTGTAGAATTGTTTTGCATGTCCATCTGGTTCCTGCTCAAGAATATCCTGACTCGACGTGGCATCAGGTGCAACAACGCCAGTTGAATTATGAAATAAATCTCCAATCATTTCTTGCATTTCATCGTCACTCTGGCTTTCTTCTGTCATTTCTTCTTGTTCTTCATCAAACTCCGAAAATGGACTCACCTTGTCTTTCGCCGTGATGACACCAAAATCTGTAGTTTTTAATAATTCCATGAACAATCAAGTGGGTCTTTACCGACTCACGATTACCAGACTTCACATTGCTGCATTTAACACATGGACATCGAATTTCAAAGTCTTCGTCCTTTTCAATAAAACTATCCAACAGCTTCTCATATGCATAGTCTAAGAACTTATCAACCCCTTCTTCATATTTTGGATCAAGTCTACCATAATCTACTAGGTCCATCCAATCTTTATTCGGCGTCATTTCAAGCAATGTACTAAAATTTTCTGAAAAAAAATATTTCAACCTCATCAAATACTAAACACAAAGAAATGCTTGTTGAAATGAACAAACTTGGTGTACTCTTTAAAAATGTATGTACTATAACAGCAAAGTAATATGTATTGCAAATTGTTGCACATGGTATATTTCTAGTGGTATATTAGTTGGATCATGTTATATTATTAAGATCATGAATAGAAAGCACATAAAATATACAATTTAAAGAGGCAATTTTGCGTAAAAAATCTAGCTAAAGAAGATTTCCTGTATTTTGACATAATGAAATGAAAAAAATAGATAGCCTATTTGTCTGCACATGCAAACGACATCATGAAATGAAAAAAAAAATAGCCTATTTGTCTGCACATGCAAACAACATCATGAAATGAAAAAAAATAGATGGACCATGTTCTTGTAAATCATTGTGGAATTCCAAATACAGGAAATCGATGTCAAGAATGCAACATACATGGAATTTACAAAAACAACCAGATTAACTCAGATGAAACAAGAGATAGGATATGGGATTTATGAAACATTTCAAAGAAACAAAAAATGAAAATATTCCAAAAAATAGTGGTGCAAAATTATTATATAAGAAAAAAATTTATTATATAAGAAAAAAGGTGAAATGTCAAAATACATAAAATATACAATTCTTGTTAAACTGTCTGTAACCTCTTGACAACAAAATTGCTAATGTTTTGAGTACCTGTAATGCAAAGTAAAGAATTCAGCATGATTAAGTGTCTAATAGGGGTGGTAAACGATCGAATCGAATCGAATACTAAGGTGTTCGTATTTATATTTGTTTAAAATTATCGAATTCGAACGTGGACTCTAATATTCATATATCTAGTTTTTCGAATTCGAACTCGAATACTTGGTATTTGATAAATATTCATGAATATTCACGAATACTTATCGAATATCAAAGTATGTTTATTCCGCTAAAGAATTTAATTTTCAAATAGTATTAGAATTCATAAATAAAATTTATTCCTTTATAATATATAATGTATATATATATTTAAATCAAAATTTTAATTAGAAAATATATTTAAGAATATTTAAGTCTTAAAATCAGTATATAAAACTTAAGTAGAAATTGTACGTTGGTTAAAAATATGACATCATATGTGCAATAATACAAGTAAGAAGCTGTGATCAAATTTCCAACGAATATTTAATAGACAAACGAATCGAAAATACATCTGGTTAAATTCTATTCGTTAGTAAACTCGAATACTAAAAAATATTTGTTTAGTGGTAAATGAACTACCGAATCGAATATGACCGAATAGTTATTCGAACAATTATCGAACCATTTATTAATTATTTGGTTCATTTCCACCCCTAATTGCTATTACGTCTCTCATTTTTTGTAAGCCGTTAAAAATTAATCTCTCTCCAATTCCTACTTTTAGCCTTGAAGTAGCTTAAGAAGGGGAGGTGAGCAATTTTAATGGTTAATTTGAACTACAAATTTCAAAGTACGAAAAGTCTGAGGGATTAATATCGAAAAAAACTCTGCGTACTCATTCTAGCCGTTTGAATTGAATGCATCGTTGTTCCTACTAAAATTGAGCTCTCTTGAAACTCATCAGGTGAGGTGCACAAGAGATCATGCCTGTTCCAAAAAGCCGGTGACCGTTGTGATCACCGACGAATGCCCCAGGGGTCCGTGTCTAGTGGAGTCCGTACATTTCGATCTCAACGGCACCGCGATCGGGGCGATGGCCTTGCCCCGCCGTGCTGATCGTCTGCGGGGTGTCGGAGTTCTACCTATCCAATACACACGGTAAGAATATATACGTAACACCTGTCGGCAAGATGAAGACGACGAAGAAATTACGGACGAGTTTGGTGAAGAACAATGAACAGTAGGCGATTTATTGTTAATCTAGGCCCTAGACGAGTTTGGTGAAGAAATTACGGAAGTTGAGATTCTAGGGTTTAATTATTTTTGCGGCGAGCGTTTTGAGGGATGAATAGGAGATTTTTATGGGCGATTTTGGATTTTGGGTTTCGGGTTCTCCTTGGGGCTTTGGTGATTGTGATTTTGGGTCTTGTTAATTAATAGTAATAGGTTAAACTATCAATCCTATTATGATTAGGAGTATCATCAACGAATGTAATATACTCCTTCGCCTTTCAGTAGACCCAATAACGACGGTATTAGAACCAAATCAACAAAGGGATTAGAAAATCGTTATCCCATCTCACATCATTTCTCTAATAATTGTGATAACTCGATGAAGGGCTTTAAAACCGTCATTATTTTACACACATTAATGACGGTTAACTGGTCCCTTTGGTAATTTTGGTCGTTAAATACCCGCTTTCTTGTAGTGTCGGAATCGCTTACTACACAAGAGTTGTCCTCTTGTGGCCGTGTGTATGATGCTCCACATGAACTTGAAGAAGAATCCTCCAAAGCTTGTCGGATTGCCTCCAAGTCCCCTTGATGTGCTTCAATAAATTTCCAAAGTTTGTAAGCACTATCAAAATGAACAAATTTGTTAGAAAAGGATGAGTCAAAGGCATTTAGTATAAATTCTAACAAAAACTTGTCCATTGTAAACATTTTATTATCATGATCGCTCCACTTGGATTTCTCCAATGTGGGCACAATATAAGCGTAACCAATAACTTCCTGATAATTATATTTTATTACAATTTTATACCCTCATTATCTATTTTATATGAATAAATATACCACTAATAATTGTTTTTATCTTTAATTGCAGGTTAATGAAGAATAAATTCCAAAAATCTCATTTCTCAACAAAGGCCATTGAGTAAATGAAGAAATAAGAGAAATTCAAGAAGCCAAAGTGAAATATTTAAATTTTAAAAACCCAAAAGCCCATGGCAGCTCCTCCTCTTTATTCTCAAATGAGCTTGAAGGCCCAAAGCCCATCAAGAAAAATGATTACACCAAAGAGTTGGAATGGACTTGGATGTAAAGAGTGGAATGAAATGGACTTGGATGCAAAGAGTTGAATGAAATGGACTTGGATGCAAAGAGTGGAATGAACTGGACTTGGATGCAAAAAAAAAAGGGCCGGACTTGTTTTGGTAACCAGCTGCTACAAAGTTGGATTTTAATTGAATGGGCCGGACTTTGGTGCATTTCTTCATCTTTTATTTTGAAAACCAGGAGATCAAATGAAGACCAGGTGCAGATTTGAAAAAATTCTGTGCATGGGCCGGACCTTGGGACTGCAGCTTTGATTTGTTTTTGGATTGGGCCGGATTTTGCTTTGAAAATCAAATGAGAACTCCAATGGGCCAAAAACTTGCTGCAGCTATTCTTTTTGGAAAATCAAAATCAAATTGTGCCGAAAATCAAGTATGACCGGACTTGAGGTGATCAAATGCCAAAAACCTATTTCCTGCTGCAGATGTGGCTTTTAACATGAATGGGCCGATAAATGAAATGGACCATGCTGCATTAGATTAGTCCGGACTGCTGCAATTAGATTGTGAATTTCTTTTGAAAATCAAATAAATCATATGTGTCTCCTATGTTAGAACAAAAAGCAAATTCAAAGGTGGAGATTGCTTTGCTTGGGGCTCAAGACAAATCCAATGGCTCATATTCATTGAAGATTACTATAAATAGGGGTAGAGAGTGAGGGGTTAAGGGTGTGAAAATTTTTGTAACTCCTTTTGGAGAGGAGGGCTACTCTTAATTGAGAAGGCCTTCCAAAATTATAACTTTTTATTGCAATTAATAATAATAATTTTTTCACCACTTTAAATTTTTTCACCACTTTAAATTTTTCTCTTCTTCTCTTTTATTGCAATTAACTTTTTATTTTTATTTTGTTTGATTCGCCTTTAGGCTAGAACCCTCTAGGGAATCACTCTTTTCTAAGAAGTGGGTTCAATTTTAGATTATCCATATCTATAATTGAATCCATCATCTTTTATTTCTTGCATTTTCTTTTATTCTA